AGAAACTACGAAGATAATTCATTTTTCTTAAGAAACAGAACAAAGTGAAGAGACAACTGCCACTCAGGAGCCAACATCAGAAATCACAGAAGCTCCTCAAGGTCAGCGACAATACGGAATCTCTCATCTAGAAACTACGAAGATAATTCATTTTTCTTAAGAAACAGAACAAAGTGAAGAGACTACTGCTGCTCAAAAGACAACAACAGAAGCTCCTCAAGGTTGGTAGCAAGTGGACAATCACTTGCATCAGAGTTGTCGAAATGGGTAATTATCATGGTTCAATTGTTCAGAAGAAACAGAACGAAATGAAGAGACTACTGCTGCTCAAAAGACAACAACAGAAGCTCCTGAAGGTTGGTAGCAAGTGCACAATCAGTTATCTCAGTATTTTCGTTGGAGGCCATTATTATAAGCTATGTTGTTCTGAAGAAACAGAACAAAGTGAAGAAACAACTGCCACTCAGGAGCCAACATCAGAAATCACAGAAGCTCCTCAAGGTCAGCGACAATACGGAATCTCTCATCTAGAAACTACGAAGATAATTCATTTTTCTTAAGAAACAGAACAAAGTGAAGAGACTACTGGTGCTCAAAAGACGACAACAGAAGCTCCTCAAGGTTGGTAGTAAGTGCCACTAAGTTGCCTCAGTATTTGCGTTGGAAGCCATCATTCTAAGTTATACAATACATATATTGTTCAGAAGAAACAGAACCAAGTCAACCGACTACTGTGACTCAAGAGCCAACATCGGAGATCACAGAGGCTACTCAGGGTTTGTGGTAAACTCACAATCAGATACGTCAACACAGACGCGTATGACAATCATTACTATTATATAATTCATATACCTTAGAAGAAACGGAGCGGAGTGTAGAAACTACTACGACCGAAGAGCCATCATCAGAAATGACACAAGCTCCGCTAGGTTGGTGGAAAGGCACAGTTATTTCTGTACGAGAGAAAATGTCCAAAAACTTTACTGGTAGCACACATCAGCAGAGTTTACGTCGCACAGGATGACGTCATGATGGAAATGCAGCAACGAAAAACCTCAAAAGCTTTCTTCAACAACTGGGACATATTCTTTTCGGTCGTTCTTGCTGCTCTCGAAACATGAACTCAAATTCACCGACCATCCGACGAGGTCTGGGTCCGGGGAACTCTACAGTATTTGTTTCAGCATGAAGCATCCGCGTAACCTCTTGATCATGCCTTTGATGGAGAGCTTTCTGAGACGTGTCATTGTTTTTGTAACTACGCTAGGGACCAGTAATTCACATGAGAATTTTCACAACCCAAGTGATACGCATTCTCGGAGGTCGGGCAGCTGCTATGGATTGGAGTTCAGTAGAGCTTATATCGTTCCCATGTTAATAATGCCCGTGAATTAGTGAAGGTCGCCATTATACATATACAGGGAGATTGGGAGAGGCTCAGAGAAGGTCACTTCGCCCATGGCTCAAATCAGCAAACTTTTCGTCGCGCAGCGTGTAACCTTATGAAAGTTTTACGGCAAAATATTCCTTAGGTGTTCCCCCGTAAGCAGAAGCAGGCCCTCCTTCACTGCCCTGCCGTCTTCAGAATATGACGTCATCTGCCGTCACCGTCGAGCTCAACGAGGCTTACCGTAATCGCTCCGGCCTGAAGCTGCTACATAATTTCTTCAATGGATTAATTGTTGAATAGCTTCCCAGAGACATTAGCTGTGACTATGCAAAAGCTTTGTGTAGAAGGCTGTTGTGTAGCTTGTTGATAGAGATTATAACGTGCTCTTCAATATTCAGTTGGGATCATTTGGTTTGGTTTCGCGACGCGTAAATAATTCCGTTTTGAATGTGGAGTGAAGTGTCTCTTTTTTTGGCCACCCCTGTATATGCGAGATCGCTTTTGACCAGCGTTTCAGATAACGTCGTAGGTCTATGGTCTGTCGACGACCTCGTTGAGCTCGTACCGTGCACCATGTTTCCGTGGGAAAATCTTCTGATGTCGTCGGTGTAGAAGGCTGCTTTGAAGTTTTCTTTTGGTAGAAATAGTATGCGCTCTTTCACTCATTCAATTCGGATTCCACAACTTTCGTGACTAATGCGTTCTTGAATGTGGAAGGGATTGACTTTTTTGACCCTCCACTCTACATATAGCTACCCGATAATTTCCGCTGATCATTTCGTCAACCGTCCTTGGAATTTCTTGGATTAGGAGTAGAACTGGGCATCGATGGTATTCAAAGTTGAAAGACCTGGTATCAAAAGCATGAAGAACCTGAAAAAGGCGGTATGCTCACGTGTTCTACTCTACTTCAACTCTCACAAGCTACCTTGCAGATATAGAGCTCAGAAGACTGTATTTATTCAAGGTAATAAAGTCTATAGGCTGCGTCATGTTCGCGTGGTAGAACCTTTTTACATCGTTCATGTGGATCTTTGTAAGGCTAAGTTCTTAGGTTCCATTCCAAACATTCGCGTGAAAAGACCTGATTAGAGAAAACGATATGCCACAGCGACACTAAGCGTTTAAGTTCATGATCAGTCAGTTCTCGCGCTACTGCAGCACGCGATAAGCTTCAATGAAACTGAACAACCTGTGAAACTCAACTAACGCACCTTTTGTCTTTACCTTATTGACCGTTTCATAGGCATAGGAGGGTTTTTCATACTCTGTTGCTTCTGCCCCTTATCAGTCCTTATTTGTAGATATTACATAAAATATTATAAGTTGATACCTTACCTGTCCAGTTCGCCACTGTTCCATCTTATGCATCGTTTGCCACTGTGAAACTGTATAAGAACGGCAGGAGTCCATGAATCCTTCTACCGAGCCTACTTTACTGCACCTAATAGACACTATCACTTTTTCATCCATCACATAGGTACCGGTTTTACCCCGTCTCACACCAACTGGTGCAAGCATTCCACTATAAAGGG